TTGTACTTGGTTTAGAAGACTGAAGCATTGCTCGCATTCTGATGTGATTGCTCTTTTTCGTAATTGAGGATCTTTTAGATGGAATTGGGATCCAGACGATCTGTTGATTTTGTGGTTTTGGGAAAGAAAGATGTCATCATAGTCACTGGGGCTCGCTCCACCACATTAGAAGATTCTGACTGTATCTGGACTGTAAAATGATCCAGGCGCATTCTGACCGACCCCAACATTTTGAGTGTATCAGGACAATGATGGCATCCAAATACGTGTAGAATGTTTTGTAGTGGAGCGAGGCTCACTGTCTCTCTTTCCTAACACTTGGCAAACCCACAACCTGAACTATATTTGTGCATGGTATAATCACACTGTTTTTTTTTCTGCACAGAGAATATTATGGCGGGACTTGTAATAGTGTCATTGCGTATTGTTATTGCCCAATTAGAGACAAACAAACTAAGGGCATTACTCACAGTGACACTTTTCCTAAGTTTTTTTTCCGGATATCCGGATGGCCCAGGACCATCCGGAATATCCGGCCGGAAGAAGCACCCCGAAAGAACCTGGAAATAAACATTCCGGGGCCTGCGCAAAATAGGCGCAGGGCTTCTTCTTGGGGTCTAGGGGCGCCAAGGGGTTTTGATCAACCTCTGGCAGGACCTCATGGTGGCGGATCCTTAGTGAGACCCACAGATTTCGGAAAAAAAAGGCCCGATCTGGGTCGTCGGTCCACCAAGATCGGCGGCCCAGATCGGGCCAATTTTGAATTCGAAATCGCACAGCACCGCTGCCCCGCCTGCCCGCTGGTCGCTGCCCCGCTGGTCGCTGCCCCGCTGGTCACTGCCCCGCTGGTCGCTGCCCCGCCGCTCGCTGCCCCGCCGCTCGCTGCGCCGCCGCTCGCTGCCCCACCGCTCGCTGCCCTGCTGCGTTGTTCCAGAGCAGCCACCGCTGGAACCATCACCGGGAGCTTCTCCTCTACCCGTCACTAAGGTGAGTCTCCTCTCCTACTCTTCCTCCTTGTTCCCTCCTCCTCCTCCTCGTCCTCGTCTTTCACCTCGTCCTCCTCCTCCTCCTCGTCTTCCACCTCCTCCTCCTCCTCCTCCTCCTCCTCTTTCACCTCCTCCTCCTCTTCCTCCTCCTCCTCCTCTTCCTCCTCGGCTTCCTCCTCCTCCTCCTCCTCGGCTTCGTCCTCCTCCTCTTCGTCCTCTTCCTCCTCATCTTCCTCATCTTCCTCCTCCTCCTCCTTGTCCTCCTCCTCCTCCTCCTCCTCGTCTTCGAAATCCACAGATGTCGTAAGCTCATTCATGTGCGAGGAGGAGGAGGAGGTGAAGGAGGTGGCGCGTGGCTCCCTCCCCCGCCTTCGTTTTTTTTTTTTTTTTTTTTTT